TATTAAAAATTATGAACAGTATAAATAACGTGCCTGATACATAAATTCGTTCTTCAGTTGGCCATATATTTCGCCTGCCCGCGTCAACGAATCCGCGCGCATTGTCATGTTCTGTGAAGGCAATCAAAGATGTCGGGAACCGTACATGGTGTGTTGCACTATGATACGCGAATATTGATTAAAAGAATACCAACAAGAAAACTGATTGGTACATATCAGTCAACTAAATTACACCACTTCAATGAGCAAGTTACAGTGAGTAAAATGCAGTTCAAGTACTCAGGACAATGAAATGACAACACTATTCGAAGGTCCATATTTGTTCGACAAAAAGAGCAGACTCGGATTAGGATGTACAAGTCAAATAGGATCAGTCTTAACTGTTCTATACATCGGATAGAAAAATTATGAATGTTTTACTCGTAGATACAGCGACTAGAGAGCTTCATACAAGAAAAATGGCGAACATGCATAACTGGTAAAACAACCGAATGAGGCTTACTGTGACAACCATGTTACCTTCGTCCATTATCCAATTTGTGAAAATAGCTCCAGCCATTACAACGGTGAGGTGAAATCCTGAGTGTTCACTCCTAGTCATACCTTGTGTAAAGAACCACTACTTTTCCCGTACCGATCTCCCTGTTTTGCAGTAAAACACGTATCAAAATAAGTTGTGGGCTTAATGGCATTGACCACTGAGTTCATAAACATTCGGCTGGTTTAGGGTGCTAAGAGACACTATTGGTCATAACCACGTCTCATTACAGCAGTCTAACAGTGCCCTATTTGAAACAGGGAGCAGACAAAAAAAATCAAATATTACCAATGGGAGGGATTTATCAACTGTGACCAGAATAGTGTTTGGACGAATGGAGCAAACAAGTCTGTCTAGGGATACTTTTGCATGCACCTTTTATAATTCACTGCCGTCGTACCGTTCAGCTTACCTCGAATAATTGCCACTGACCTATTCTCAAACCTCTTATGACTAGCAAAATCGCATCTGTTATGAGTCCGATTGGCTCGCTTCCATACCATATAAAAATGGTTCGGTTATCAAAATATGGATGTTTGATAAGTATATTTTTAGTTCCATCTCACAGTCCTTACCGCTGCAGACCGTTGACATATGTTCCTAGCCCTAAATTTTACCTTAACTTTTCTTTCACCGACAGCTATAACTTCTGAACTCTAGCTTACTTGGTGCAGCAGATTTACTCGTTTACTTTCTTTTATTAGCGTCCTTAGTGTGCAGAGTAAATAGATTCATTTTGGATAGTTAGAAGTACTAAAGTTGGAATAACCCATTTCACTGTTCACGGATATCAGGCTCTGTTGATGATCTTGGGTGTGGGTTTTACTATTTGGGAGACCGTTGACTCCCCACTAGTTGGACGCGTTTGTAAGCGATGGAAAGATCAATTATGAATGACAAAGAGCAATAGATAACTGTTTCGTCCTGTTTGGGACTCGTCAGCAGTGCATACTTTTTGCCGTTTAATTGCTTAGATCATTCGCACAACACGCTGACTGTTGACCATGTAGCTCAGTGGTAAGATTTTGAAGTCCGGACCTGAATGTTCGCGGTTGAAGTTCTGAAAGGGACACAAAAAGTATGCACTGCTGATGAGTCCGAAACAGGACGAAACAGCTATGCAATGCCGTTGGTCGCCTACAAACGCACTTTGGATACTCTTTATTCCGGAAAACAATTATCTAAAAGTTCTCAGTCAGCATGCATAAATTTGTTCGCTATCTCCCCAAACTACTTTGTCTTTCATGCTTATGTCATCATGTGTTTTCTTTCCCACAGTACAGTCGTTTTCTAAAATTAGCCCAACCCTATCAAGAGAATCTACAAATTAGTGATTATGGAGTACCCCTGAGAGTTTCTCTACATTTTTTGTATAAAACAACCTTTCCCAGTACCATGCTAGCCAAAAATATGATTTGATATTATGTTGGAACAGTTCTAATTCGTCTAATAAGACGTCAACAAGTACCGATCTATCCGGTCTTCATGTGTCGAATAAAAATGCTTTGTATTCATTCTCCGTCTTTTGCTAATGTAAGTGTTGAAATTCTCAGATAATTACCCTGTTACCATAAATAAGACGAAATCCATCGGATATCTAGGAGTTGCCAGTGACAGAATATCTACGGGACTTTGGTCAAATACGAATTGAAAACAAAAGTATCAACTGTCCTTCAAGTTTCGGAAGTCGAATAAGTTCAGGTGTTGACATTTATCGATCAGGGTACTTTTTATTGCACTCGAACGTCATGCAACCATTTTCCTCAATTTCAAAGCGATTTAACATTTCGCAGCGGTTAAGTGATTATTACCAGTATTCCCTTATGCCAATGAGCATCTTAAGCATGATGTTGCATACCCAATATTCTGATTTGTTATCGGATTTCACCCTACAATGTAATTCAATTGAGAAAAGGAAACGAGTCCCGATGTGATTCGAACCACACTGGATTACATGAAAGCTTTGTCGAATTCGCCTAACAGTGAAGGCTTCTTCGTACATGAAAGTGGTGGTGAATTCAATTTGATTATATGGTAATAAGATTAATCTTTAACTTCAAGCTGTTGCATAGATGTGTTAAATGATCTTGGAAAATCAAATAAGGAATATTGGTAATGCATTGGAAGGGTTGCAGGCATTACAGTGGAGATGGTTGAAATGTGGGAACTCTGGTATGTCCAAATTCTGTTTCCCGAAGTATTGAAAACCTGTGGTTGTCCTCACCGGTTGCATCACTCTCCACGTCTAAGTGAAACTATTAACTTAGCAAAAAGAATCATCCTCAGTCACGGACAATACACACCAACAAACCCCTGTTTTTCAAATCATATATCTGAATCACTGACCGCTATATTCCAACGAATGTCGCATCATACAAAACTCTAGAAAACATTTGAATGATACGATATTTTACCCATTTACAAAGAGGGGTGCCGTTGATACTCTGCTGAATATATATATATATATATATATATATATATATACGCAATGTAAAACACATTTTAGAAGCAAAAGTCATTTTTGCTACAGAGCCATACAACCAAATCAACTAAAAAAGCTCTAGCACCAGGTCAAGTGCATTCAGTCAGGAGAAGTCTAACTTTTAATCTTTATTTTAACAACTTCCAAATTAAGTGGGATGGAATCAACACTATTTCAATGTAAAGAGTCACTACTCTGGCAGACAATGACTCTTCATAAGGGCACATCACTTCTATTTAGGCCCGAAAATTCGCAAACCAGAATTTAGCTCAGTTATGTTAGAACTTAATTTTGATTTTAAAAAAAGAAGTATACATGAGTTCGTGTGTTATTCATTGTCCTTTTTGCCATCTCTGATCGCTGGATTCACGAGGCATATTTACTCTTCTTGATATGGCTAAAACCCCTGATACATATGAAATTTTGCGAATTATT